TCTCAGGCACACACCTCTCTTGAAAACATCCTCAAGAGTAGAGGCATGGTCTAGGGAGAAAGGGGCCTTACCTGGAGCACCCACCTCAAATTTGAGCTCACCTTTGACTAGAGATCTCCAATAAGGAAGCAGTTGACTCCGTATTAATAATTTTTTTAAAAGCCAATATTTGAATCACTGAATTCTACTCCAGAAACCAATATTGCCATGTATGTTTACTAAGCATAATTTAAATTTAAAAAAAAGCCAAAAAATAAAAAAATAATAAAATGGGCAAAGGATCTGAGTAGAAATTTCTCCAAACGAGGGGCGCCTGGCTGGCTCAGTCGGTAGAGCATACGACTCTTGATCTTAGAGTCATGAGTTAAAGCCCCACATTGGGCATAGAGCTTACTTGGAAGGAAGGAAGGAAGGGAGGGAGGGAGGGAGGGAGGGAGGGAAGGAGGGAGGAAGGGAGGGAAAAAGAAAAGGAAAGGAAAATTTCTCCTAAGAAGATATATAGATGCCTGATAAGCACATGAAAACATGCTCACCATCATTAGTCATCAGAGAAATGCAAATCAAACCCACAGTGAAACACCATTACATATCCACTAGAATGTTCATAACCAAAAAGAGATACTCAGTATTGACAGGGACATGGAGAAATTGAAACCCTCATACACTGCTGATAGGATTGTAAAATAGTGTGGCCACTTTGGAAAATAGTCTGGCAGTTCTTCAAAAAGTTAAACATAGAGTTACTGTTTGACCTAGCAAGGTATAAACCCAAGAGAAATAAAAACATAGGTTCACGAAAGAGCAAATTTGTTGCAACTTCATTCATAGTAGCTAAAAACTGGAAACAGCCATCAACAAGAGATAGATAAACAAATTATTATATATTCATACAATATAATATGACTCAAGGAGAAAAATGAATGAGCAATGAATACATGCAACAATATAGATGAATCTAAAATACATTATATTAAGCAAAACAAGCCAGACCAAACAAAAACAAAAACAAAACCATACTATATGATTCCACTTATATGAAGTTTAACAACAGGAAAATTAATGTGATACAAACAAGTATAGGGGTTGCTGATTGGGGGTTGGGCAGGCGGGTGGGCAGACTTACTAAAAGGGGACAGAAGAAAAATTTCTGAGGTGATAGAAATACTCTAGATCTTGTTTTGGGTGGTAGTTACAAGTTATATAAAATTATCAAAACTTATTAAACTGAAAACTTCAGATCTGTGTCCTCTATTGTTTGTAAATTATAACTCAGTATTGTTAGCTTTAAAAGATCGGGATCACTGGAACAGCTTGAGTCTAGGAAACAAGTACAATTCCCAACCCCCAACCTCTCGCCTGTGTAACAAGCCCTGTCAATGGCCACTCCGCAGTGCTTCCCTTCTATCAGCAGTGCCTACAACAGACCACTTGGGGGCAGCCACGCCTGCCACGGCTAATATTTGCAGGAGCTAATTTTCCACCAGCTAGGTTGTTCTGGGGCAGCTAGAAGTCTGGGTGCTGCTGTGTAGCCCGTTGGCCTACACAGCTCATCTTCATCACCACCACCTCTCATAGCCTAACCAGCAGCTCCGAACATGCAACACCCATTGCTTACTACTTGTTGAGTTAGAACAAAAGTGTCCATCCAAACCTGCTCCCACTAACTGCAGGCACAGCACACCCCGGGTCCCTCAACTTCCCATCCTCTGTCCCTATCGTTCCTGTCAACAGCTGGGCATTGCTCATGGTGTTCCTTTGGCTAGCTGATTCCTACTCATCCTTTGAGTGCCCACATGAGTCTCAGATCCTCTGGATACCTCCCTGGACTAGATGCCTCAATGCCTTCCTTTCCTGCCACACCATGGTATGTTGTTAACTAGGTATCTGTCTCCCCATCAGAATGAGTTCAGGGCCAGGGGTGAGGGAACAGACCTACATCTGTGTTACACACCATCACCCCACTGCCAGTCTCAGGGACAAGGGAACTTGGTTGAGTAGTGTGTTTGGCTACAACTGGCTCTTCGGGGGAAAAAATGTACATATATATATGCTTATTAGAAGTTTTACTGATATAAAGGATGTGTAACACACAACGTATACATAATAAAATATACAATACAGTTTATTGTCAGTTCCATATAGCCAATTGATTCTCAAAGAATGCTTTCATCAGTTTTTCCTTTACTCTTGCCTGCATAGCCTACAGTTACAATTGATGAATGAGCATAGATAATTAAAAAATAAATAACAATAAATCAAGCTCTGTATCTGTAGTGTTTGCTAATTTCTGTGATGTAAGTACTTCCACCATGGCTGATTTCAAGCTACCAATGTGATGTTACTGAATGCTGCATGGGGCAAATATGTCCCACAGCACACCCTTACATAGTATTACCACCACACAACTACAAGAAGCCTAAATTAATTCAAGAGCATGAATAGTAAAATGCCATAAAGTTATTAGAACGTGATGAGTTTTGAATGATGAGTTGACTATTACTTTTCTTTTAATGCAGCATACTTAATTATAAGCTGATATAATTAAATTTTTAATAATGGTTGTAGTTTAACAACCAGACTACAAAATGAAAAATTTAATAATTGACTCTCATGGACCAGTATGAGCTGCTTCCAGCACTAGTATTATGCTTTTCACTTTTGATTTCAAGGATCTGGCTGCTTTACTCTTTTGTTTTTATATGCAACTTACTATGAAAATAAAAACATGGTTATGCATATTCCTCCAAAAAAATTAAATCTTTTCGGGCTGATTAAAACAATAAGTAGTTACTATCATACATGACTATCCCAGGGCACCTGGGTGGTTCAGTCGGTTAAGCATCTGACTCTTGATTTCGGCTCAGGTCATGATCTCATGGTCATGAGTTCCAGCCCCACATTGGGCTCCATGCTCAGTGTAGAGTCTGTTTGAGATCGGATTTCTCCCTCTCCCTCTGTCCCTCCCCCGACTTGTACTTTGTTTCCCAATGAATGAATGAATGAATGAATGAATGAATGAATAAATAAATAAAATCTTTAACAACAACAAAAAATATCATACATGAATGTCCCTAGAACATTTTTGGTTATCACCAAACTCAGAGACTTATTGCCCTGGCCTTGTCTTCCAAGGGTGCATGGGCCACTGGATGCTGGGCTCCTTTGCACACTTCAACTCTTCCCTGGGTCCAGGTCCCTCGCCTCTTCCCAACCCTCACCTCACTCTGGAACTGCTGATGATCAGCTCCAAAATCCCCAATTCCATAGCATGAAGAATGGTTTAGCCTCCACTTTCTACTCTCTTAAACATTTTAGTCTGAAAACGATTTTACATTTTTTTAAATTATTCATAACACCATAGAACTTTGTAAACATGAGCTATTTCCCAATATTTACTATATTATAAATTAAAATATTTCTCTACAATTTCATTTAAAATAACAATAAAAGGGGCACCTGGGTGGCTCAGTTGGTTAGGCGACTAACTCTTGATTTCAGCTCAGGTCATGATCTCAGGGTCATTAGATCGAGCCCCATGTGGGGCTCCACGCTCAGTGGGGAGTCTGCTTCTCTCTCCCTCTCTCCCTCCCTCTCCCTCTGCTCCTCTCCACCTTGCTCATTCACTCTCTCTAAATAACAATAATAAACATAAATTCATTACATGGTAATGTAAAAAAAAATCTTTACTTAAAATAATTACATTTTCCAAAACAAACACAAAAAAAGTAGTGAGAAATGTGGCATTGCTTTACAATTTTGCAGATCTCTTTAATATCTGGATTAACAGAAGACAGCTGAAGTCCCATATCTGCTTCTGAATTTATTTTTTAATTTTGGTGGGGGGGGTGGGGCAGAGGCAAAGGGAGAGAGAGAATCTCAAGCAGTCTCCACATCCAGTGCTGAGCCCAACAAGGGCTTGATCTCACAACCTTGAGATCATGACCTGAACCAAAATCAAGAGTTGGACTCAACCAACTGAGCCACCCTGGTACCCGCTTCTGCATTTAATCTGTTGTAATAACACATATCATGAAACCCTTGGAAAATTCCACTGTACCTTCATGAAATAATAAGAATGAAAAAGGCAAATAATGTCTTACTATTGTTATAAAAACAATTTTGACCTCACAGCGCCCACCCCCACTAAGAAAGGGTCTTAGGGAGCTCCAAAGATCCCTGAATCCCACTTTAAGAACCACTCACTGTTCTAGACTATGTCCTGGGAGTGGGATGCTGACTTTTCACACTCAAAGAAGCCCATCATTCATTCATTCAACAAATACTGTGCACTGAGTATCAGACACTGTTCTTGGGTGCTGGAGATGCAGCTGGGAATAGAACAAAGTCCCTGCCCTCACAGAGCCTATATTCTAATGAGAAGAGAAGTAAACAATAAACAAATATGGTTATGTCAGGTGATAATAACTGCCATGAAGAAAAATAAAACCAGAAAAGGGAACAGAGATTGAAGAGGGAGGAGTGTTATTTTAGGGTGGTCAGGGAGGTCTCTTGGAAAAGGTGACATTTGAGCAGAGCCTGAAGACTATGAGACAGAGTCGGGGGGATGCGCCTTCCAGGCCAAAGGAGGCACAGGTATGTTCACCGTGTTTGAGGAAAAGTGAGGAAGCTGGTGAGGCTTGAATGGAAGCACTGAGAAGAGTGAGAGATGAGGCCAGAGAAGGGAGGGGTGCTCAGATTCTGGGTATACTTTCAAGGGATAGTGATAATTTCACTGAATCCATGTCTCTCTTTGAGGCTGCAGCAGGTTATATTCCCCAAATATGGTCACAGCAATATTTCTAGCCCCACATGCTCTCCCAGAATGTTGCCATTCCCCATCAAGAAGTGTACTTCCTTTCCCCTTGAACTTGGGCAAGGGCTTAGTGACTTCCTTGATAAACAGAATGTGGTGGAAGTGACACTGTGACACCCAAGGCTAGGTCATAAAGCATAATCTGGTTTATGCCTGGTTCTCTCTCTGTCATTGGGTGCTCACCCTGGAATCCAGTCACCATGCTGTGAGGATGCCCAAACTAATCCATGCAGAAAGACCACATGGAGAGGGCCACATGGAGATCTGAGGCTTTCAGCTGACAGCCAGCAAGAACCAATAGACAAGCAAGTGAATAAACTTTCAGTCCCCAGCCTTCAAGTTCTCCAGCTTGTCTCATGGAAAAAGAGACAAGCCATCCTCGAGATGCCCTGCTTAAATTCCGAACCTACAGAATCTGTAAGCATAACAAATGACTGTTTTACATTACTGAATTTTGAATAATTTGTTATGCGACAATTGGTAACTGGAACAGAGTTCTCTTGGCATTCTATGTGACCTTTCCAAAGTACTAATCTAATCAATATAGGCCTGATTAAAATCCTGCAATGATTTATTAGGCTAAAGTCAAAGGTGGTGATCCCACTAAGGCATCAAAAAAGATCTCAGCAATCACTCCGCCTTCTTCCCTCCAGGTTATGACTGGGCAGCTTTGGGGTTCAGGCTGATGGATGGAAGCAGTCCCAAAAGCAAGTTAATAAGAAGGAAGTAATAAAGAGCGCCTGGGTGGCTCAGATGGTTAAGCGTCTGCCTTTGGCTCAGGTCATGATCCCAGAGACCTGGGGTTGATTGAGCCCCGCATCGGGCTCCCTGCTCATCGGGGAGCCTGCTTCTCCCTCTCCTGCTCCCCATGCTTGTGCTCTCTCTCTCTCTGTCAAATAAATAAATAAAATCTTAAAAAAAAAAAAAAAGGAAGTGATAATAGTCTGGCAGGGGCAGTGCTTAGTTCTTGACGTTCTTCTCCAATGAACAGAGACCACATAAACACAAGAGAAAACCCAGGGTCTGCTTCCCTGGCTATGCCCCACCCTTTCCTCCTGCCATAAAAAAGTCCTGGTCATAAAGGATTTCCAGGTGAATTCCTTAAAAGTTTCAAGTAGAAACTGCAACCCTAAGCCACCTGAAGATATGTGTGTTTTAAAGCATGACTTAGTTGATGTGGTAGACTATCCATAGAATGGTTACCAACTCTATAAAGACTCCCATGCCTGTATATACAGGTCAGACCTTCCACCAAGAGGTGCAGCTTATTTCCCTCCTATTAGAATCTGGACTGGATATTTATCTTGGTTTGACCAACAGAATGCAGGGGAAGTAATAATGTGTGACTTTAAGGCCTAAGCCTTCTGAGGCATCGCAGCCCCCACTTTCATCTTTTGGGGATCAAGTCACTCAAGAAATAAGCTTGTGGAAAAAAGCGCAGCCAGCAGCACCAGCTGTTCCAACCAGCCCAGCTCAAGCACCAGACATGTAAATGGAGCCACCTTGAGTGTTCCTGCCCTAGTCAAGCTCCCAGCTGAATGCAAAGGAGTGACCCCAGCCAACACCATGTGGTATGGAAGAACTGCCCAGCAGAGTCCAGCCAAACTACAGAGGCATTGGAAATAACAAACTATTACTTGTAGCCATGATGTGTTTTTTTGTTGTTGTTTTTTAAAGATTTTATTTATCTGACAGAGAGAACACAAGCATGGGGAGCAGGAGAAGGAGAAGCAGGCTCCCCGCTGAGCAGAGAACCTGATGTGGGGCTCGATCCCAGGACCCCAGGATCATTACCTGAGCCGAAGGCAGACACTTAACCAACTGAGTCACCCAGGCGCTCCCAGCCATGAATTTTTTTTTTTTTAAGATTCCATTTATTTATTTGACAGAGAGAGACACAGTGAGAGAGGGAACACAAGCAGGGGGAGTGGGAGAGGGAGAAGCAGGCTTCCTGCCGAGCAGGGAGCCCGACGAGGGGCTCGATCCCAGGACCCCGGGATCATGACCCAAGCCGAAGGCAGATGCCTAACGACTGAGCCACCCAGGTGCCCCCAGCCATGACGTTTTAAAGGTGATTTGTTACCCAGCAGTAGGGACCTGAAACAGGTTAACATTTTAAAACATGAAACTGTCATGCAAAACTATGAAATGTTTTAACATGTTTTCTTGAAAACAGCTGGACTTCAGGGCAGAATCTGAAAGGTGTGCATCCCCAACCCACAATGAAGATATGTGGGCACAAAAGACAACTACTGGGGTGCCTGGATGGCTCAGTCAGTTGGGCGTCTGCCTTCAAAACTCAGGTCCTGATCCCAGGGTCCTGGGATCAAGCCCCACATCAGGCTCCTTGCTCAGCAGGGAGCCTGCTTCTCCCTCTGCCTGCCGCTCCCCCTGCTTGTGTGCTCTCTCTCTGTGTCAAATAAATAAATCTTTAAAAAAAAAAAAAGATAACTACTTCAGAGATCTGCCTCTCTCCATGACTTCTCCTGGAGGCAGGAATGATGGGGGCTCGTGACATCCACTCATAACTCTATTATCTATTCCAAGGCAGGTTCACCAGGAAGATCTTTAATCAGCAAATACACATAATTTCTAGGCAGAGAGAGTCCTCCCAGAAATTCTGCAAACAAAACATATTCTTTCCCTTGTTGAAATATATACAATTTATCTTCTGGGACAGTATGTACAGTGTACCTTGTGACTTACTTCAGAACAATAGATGGCAGGCACACTTGGTTAACTTCATCTTTTCCTCAAAAGAAGGAAAGACATAATGAATTACCTGGTGGTAACAGGGAATTCTCATGGCCATAAAGGGGATTTGACCAAGTAGCAACCTGAACTGGAAGGAGCCCCAATTCATCCAGCTTGATATGGGGGCTCTGTTCTGGACTGGTAGGATGGGGGATGGGGTGATAGGGGTGTTATGTAAAAAGACCTGTTTCTAGTCTCACCACCATAGAGAGGTAGGGAAGGGGCAATTGCCAGGAAGAGAGGTGATCCAGGGAAGAGAGAACTGTTTCCTGGCTGCTTCCCAGTGCTCCAGGCCCTATGTGGCTCTACAGGAACAAAATGACACAGTTCTTCATAAGCCTGACTCCAACAGGATGTGATGGGAGAAAGACTGTCGCTATATGTAACATTCAGAAAAGCTGATATAGCCACTCCCCACTGAAACAAAGCCAAAACTGTTAAATCACACACGAGCAAAATAAAACCACTGGGCCTGCATCCCTGCCTGTCAACAAACAGCTGGGGCCCAACAGCTCTGGTGGCCTCATGGAGGTTAACATTCTGTTCTGCCTATTTTTTTTTTTACCCCACCCTCTGTTTGCCCACAAGCTTTATTGCTCAGTAGCTGAATGGGCAAGGGCAAGCTTGTCTCCGAAAAGTGGGAGTGATGATCCCATGGCAGTACTGGGGGGGATAACCAGGAGGTAAGCACTTACATCACCATTTCCATTTAACAGGAGAGGAAACTGAGGCACAGAGCAGTTCCAAAGCTTGACCAAGGGCACAGGTAGCAAGTGGCAGAGCTAGGATGCAAAGTCAGGCCATGGGCTCCAGAGTCCATATTCTTAACCACCCCACTAGCTGCTTCTGGGTGTTGGATGGGCAAGCATTTTATAACTTGTCAAAAAACTCAGTACACCCCTGAAGGATAGTTTTAATTCTGGGAAGGCATAAACTAAGCACTCTGCCCCAGGTCAGAGCAGCCCTGGTGCCCCCCATCCCAGGTAAGCACTGGCAGAGCCGAACTCTACCCTGGAGTCCCAGGACCTTTGTTCCAGATAACTAGAGAGGCCTATAGCTGATGCCTTTCACCCTGCTGCCCCTTCCTCCTCTAGGGGGGCTAGTGCCAGGATTAAGAACAGATTTGGGGTGCACCTGGGTGGCTCAGTTGGTTGAGCATCCAACTCTTGATTCAGCTTACTCATGATCTCAGGGTTGTGAGATTGAGCCCTGCATGGGGCTCGTGCTAAGCATAGTGCCTGCTTAAGATTCTCTCTCTCCCTCTGCACTCCCCAGGCTTGCATGCGCGCTCCTCTCTCTCACTTAAAGAAAAAAAAAAAAGAACAGATGCTGAAGACAGGCTATCTGACTTTGGATCTGGCTCTACCTTACTTACGAAATGGGTGGCAGCTATTAAATAGTGTTTGTATGAATGAGTTAGTACATGGTGAGTGCAATGCTTGGCACATAGTAAGTGCTAAGTAAATGCCAGCTATAATTGATAACTATTCCCTCTCCTTATCAGCTCTATACCTTCCTCCCACCCCAAAGTTCTCAAACATCCTGTTTCTTTGGTTTTAGGTCAAATCCCACCTTAGATTTAGAAGTATAATCTTATCTTCTGAGTGCAAAGCTGATCCAAAAGTGGAAGCAATAGGAAATTTCAGGAATCACAGCAGGCTCTTAGAAAGTCTTTTGGGGACCAGAACTCTCCTGGGAACTCTAACTTTGCCCAGGTGAGTAGCTTTTTACTACACCTGTCTCTGGTGTCTGGCCGGAAGATGGGGGGTTGTGGCAACACCCATTTCTTGCAGAGATGGAGGAGGAGCTCTGATGGCTTTTTGCTTCTCCTTCCCCCTCTTACAGTTCTGTCTCCTCACTCATTCTAGGCCCCACATATCCCCTCTCCTCTTCTTCCTCTTGGGACTCAGGTGACTTGGGCTGATGGTAGGAAAGCACTTGAATTTCATGCAAGGTTGCTGGCCCACTGGGTCTACACTGCAAACCCCTATTTTCCATCTCTGGGGCCAGAGCCAGCACAGGAGAAGGAGCCGCCTCAAGGCTGAAGCTTGGCTGGTGTTAGGACTCATGGGTCCTGTCCTGGCTGGCTCCTGGCAAAAGGAGTAACTGGAAGTGAGACATGGTGAGGAGGCTGGGCTGGTGGGGACAGAGATGGGGAGCTAGAATCAGAGCACCTCCCTAGGGCCTGGGACTCAGTCTGCGAGAAGAGATGTCAGGCCTGGGCAGGGACTCCTCCATGATTGAGCTCTTGCTCTCTCCCAGGCCATGTTCCCCCACCAAGCTTCATTGCCTAGCAGTGTTAAATTTACAAGGAGCTCTGATAGCTATAACCCTACTCAGCCTTCAAGAAAGCCCTGTAAATTGGTGACTGCACTTATGCTCAATGACCAAGGACTTGAAAACAATCTTAGAACAGTTGTCATTCATGCAGCTGTTTAGCAAATATTTATTGGCGCTTCTGGGTGGCTCAGTGGGTTAAGCGTCCAGCTCTTGGTTTTAGCTCAGGTCATGATCTCATGATCTTGAGATGGAGCCCTGCTTTGGGCCCTGTGCTCAGGGCGGAGTCTGCTTAGGGATTCTCTGTCTCTGCCCCACTCCCTACCCCCCCACCTCACACCCTAGCATGCATGCTCTCTCTCAAATAAATAATCTTAAAAAACAACAACAACAAAAACATTTATTAAGTGCTCTCTGTATGCCAGGAAATAAATTTGGCTTTCCTGATTCAAGGTCTTTCCACATATTTGCTTCAATATGTTGATTCCTGATTGCCTCTCCTCCTAAATTTGCCTCCCAAATACTCCCCTTCTGCTGTGGTTTTGAAATATCTACAAATTTTTTGACACTGCTCCCTTCAAGAAGTAGAACCTAATTCCTCTTCAGAGGAAGATGGACTACAAAATGTATTGTGGCTTCCTGCTCATTTTCTCTTTCTTTCTCATCACTTGCTCTGGGGGAAGCCCACTGTTATGTCATGAACACATCTATGGAAACATCCAATGTGATAAGGAACTGAGGTCTCTGACCAACACGTGAGTAAGAAGGGGAGCAGATCCGCCAGACCCAGCAGACATCTTGGCTGCACCCTCAGGAAAGGCCCTGAGCTAGAACCACCCTTATAAGCTGCTCTTGGGTCTGTAGCCCTCAGAAACTGTAAGATATGAATTTTTTGTTTCAACCTGCTGACTTTGGGGGATAATTTTTTATGCAGCAATAGATAACCAATATATCTTCCCCACTGTAGGAACCCCTGCTCTCCCCAAAATCGACTCATACTTTTAATAGGCAGCTCAAATCATTTGAGGGACTGGTGCTCCAGCCCAGCCACCCTACCACCTCCTCTGAGAGTGAAAGGAGTCTAAGCTGCCACTAACTAGTCCCTAACATATTGGGAAAACTGCTCTTGCCAAGGCTTTGCCCATTTTCCTTTCCTTTCACTAGCTTTCTTTCCCCCTCACCTCCCTTCAAAATCTTTTAAAATCTCCAATAATATGTGAAAAATATTAGCCAACATTTCCTGAGAATTTGCCAGCCAAGTTTCTAAGACTGCTATGTGTCTCACAACCAGTTTAGGAGACCGGTTCCTATGTCAGCCCCATTTCACAGCTGAGAAAACCAAGGCACAGGAACTAAGTAAATTGCCCAAGGTCACATAGAAGCGAAAAGGCGGTAATGAAGTTCAGGCTCCAAGGTCAGTACCTCATGTACACAGGCTGTTCCAAGGCTCTGTGCTTAATTCTGTATTCAGTAGTTCTTTTCTTAAAGAGGCTCACAAAAACTGGATGCTGCCTCAGAGGTAACAGATGCAGTATGCTCTTTTCTTAAAGATATTTTAAAAATACATTTACATCTACAAACGCACACATATGGAAATAGATCCTACCCCCACCTGCGCGCCTTAAAAAAAAAAAAAAATACTTGTGGCCCTACCCAGCTCTTTTAACAGAAAGCCTTGACTGTCTTTCCACGTTTCTAACCGTCGCGGGGTCTGCGCCACCCAGACGCAAATGTACTTGCCCACCTTCCCAGAGTCGAGCCCTCTACTCCCCTCCCAACCGCGTTCGCCCCTTCTCTGGGGTTCCTAGCCGCCTCCCCGCGTATTCTCCCTTCGCCCCCCTCCTTGTCCCTGTTTGCTCTCTCACCTCGCCCCTCCCCTTCCCCGCGCGTATCCTCGCTCTGTCCCCAATCCTAGCTGCCTGCGCATTTCTCCCTCCTTCCTGCCTCGCCCCGGTACATCACCGCCCACCCGTTTTTTCACCCCCACTAGCCCCTCTTCCGCCCCCGGTTCCTCCCAGCCAATCTCCTCATCCTTACTCACAGTTGCCCCACTCCTCGAACCTTCCCGCCCTCCCTCTACCCCCACTGCCCAGCTGGAGCGCACAGCCGGCAGGCTGGGACGCGCGCTGACAGGGTAATGAATGGCTTCAGCGGTAATTAGCGACCCGGCGGCTAATCACGATGTACATTTACATTTTAAGTGCTGCAGAGGGAGCGGGGAAGGGCAAGGGGGCCCGGAGGGAATTTGGGCCTTTTCCGCGCTCTCCCTTCCCTGGGGAGCGAAGTGAATCCGAGTGTTCTACAGCTGGAGGTAGGAGAAGGGGCTGGAGGTAGGAGAAGGGGCGGGAGGGGGGGGGCTTCGAGAGCTAACCCAGGCGGCCGCAGAACAGCCGCGTGCTAACCGGACGCAAACCGGGAGCTCCCAGGCCCCTTCCACCAAATTGCATACCCGGCCTATATCCCTGCCAAGTGAAGGTTCGGCCTAGGCTTGCATACTCCTGCTGGTGGAGAGCTCGCTTCTTCCCTAACCAACCCGTTCTAACGTAGATCCCACCCGCTCCAGGACTTTTTCCCAGGCCTAGCCGAAACTGCTGCCCTTTAAGTCCCACAGCTATCTCGGTCTTACGGAATGTGAGGTTCCCTGCGCCCCGCCACGCGCTGCAGTCAGTCTTTGTGTTCTCTCAAGGCCGCTGTGCCTCCGCTACTGTGGCTGTTCCTCGTGAGGCCCGCGGGAGCTGGGGCAGAGCCGAAGTCCCGGATCCAAGCGGAACAGGACCCCGAGGGCCCCTGAGCCTAGCGTGCGGGCAGGAGATCCCGGACCGAGTCGGCCACTCAGACGTTGGGGCGCAAAGTCCACCAGCTCCTTCCAAAGGGCGGTAATGGGGTTAGCCGGGGTTCTGAACAGCAGGGGCCGAGAGCTAGGACAAACAAGATGCCGAGGAGGCCACAACAGCTGGGAGAAGGGAGAGCGGCACCCCGGCAGCCCCGTCTCAGGACTGGGACCCAGCTCCCCCCAGGCACTGTCAGGCCGCCCGTACTTTCAGGTTTCCCGCTCCCTGCAGCTCTCCCTGCACCTCCCCGCCCCGCCCGGTGCTAGGCACCCCCACCCGGATCACGTCTGCACTGCTCCCTCTGTCTGACCGTGCGCTTGCGCGAGGGGCGTGGAAGGGTGAAGGGCGAAGCCCTAGGGCAGTTCTGGGAGGGTCCAGCTCCTTCTAACTTCCCTCCCATCATCAGCCCTTCAACCCCAGCCTCACCCTCACCGTCCACCTCTCTCCGCAGGATGTCCGGGCCACCCTCCCAGTCCGGTGGCGTTCCCAGTAGCTTCATAACGCCCCCGAGGCTTCAATTTACCACCTTCCTCCCTTCTCCCCCTCAGAACCTGCCTTCATCCAGCCTCCTTTTTACCTCACTGGGTCTCAGGGGGCCAAGGCTGACTGACAACGAGTTCCACCTGGGAAGAAGGGGGATCCGCGTTACCAGGGGACAATGCCTGGCTTACCCTAAAGCATGCAGCTCTAATAGTGGCCACTCCATGGGTGGAGGGAGCTTAACTCCCCTTGGGAAGGGTTCTCCTTGTTCTCTTTCCATTCGCCTCAGGGACAGCCTGGCCCAGGAGTGTACGGGGGTCCGGGAGCCTCCAGCTCCGGTCAGGCGCGGCGAGCTGAGGCCTCAGTCTCCCGCCGCCCTGCGAGGACCACGCCGCGACGTAGTCGTCCGAGGGCAGCGCGGAGCGCAGCGGCAGCCAGCGCCTCCGCACTCTGCTGACCGTGCACAGGCTGTCCTTGAGGCGAGAAGAGCGGCTCGGGCGCGGGAGGGACGGAGTGGGAGGGTTCCCCTGAGGAGTGGGGGAAAGAGGCTCCAGCAGGCCTCTCGGAAAGCCCTCCTTGGGAGGGGACAAGGGGCGGCCTTCCGTTGGAACGCGCAAGGGCTCGAGGACCCGGCTTGAAGCGGCTTTTGCATCGCAAACACAGTTTTTATTTAGGTCGCCCGTTTATGAGGATTGGCTCAGGGAAGGCAGATAGCGATTATAGAGGAACTTCTCCCGGCAGGTCACCCCCTGTGCGCACCGCTCCCTTGCCCCTGTGTCTAGACTGGGGACTGGATCCTGTAGGCGGCCGAAGGCAGGGCGCGGGCGGGCCGAGCCGAGTTAGGGGCGGAGCCTGGCGGTAGGGGCGGGGGCTCCCAGGCTCCCAGGCGGGGCCTCCGCTAAAGGCGCGGAGCACCCGGCGCCGAGAGCGCTGCGTAGAGCAGCGCCCACTGGAGTGAAGTCGGAGCGCAGGATCGCGCCGTCCCAGCCCGCCAGCGTCCACGCCGCTCCCGCACCCTTACCCCTGCCCGCCCTTGCCAGGCGCGACCGGCGGCCATGCAGCCCCAGGGCTAAGGCGGCCCCATGCGAAGCCCGCGTCCCCGCGGGCCGGGCAACGACGGCGCATGGAGAACTTCCGTAAGGTGCGCTCGGAGGAGGCGCCGGTGGGGGGTGGGGCCGAGGGGGGCGGCCCGGGTTCCAGCCCCTTCGCGGACCTTGCGCCGGGCGCTGTGCACATGCGAGTCAAAGAGGGCAGCAAGATCCGGAACCTGCTGGCTTTCGCTACCGCCAGCATGGCGCAGCCAGCCACGCGCGCCATCGTCTTCAGCGGCTGCGGTCGGGCCACCACCAAAACCGTCACGTGCGCGGAGATCCTCAAGCGCCGCCTGGCGGGCCTGCATCAAGTCACGCGGCTGCGCTACCGGAGCGTGCGCGAAGTGTGGCAGAGCCTACCGCCGGGGCCCACACCGGGTCAGAAGCCTGGCGAGCCGGCCGCCAGTCTCAGTGTACTTAAGAACGTGCCCAGCCTCGCCATCCTACTTTCCAAGGATGCACTGGATCCGTGCCAACCCGGTTACCAGCCCCCGAACTCCCATCCTGGACCCTCGTCCCAGCCAACTGCACCGACGTCCAAGAGGAGCCTAGGGGAACCCGCGACTGGAGAAGGCTCTGCGAAGCGGTTACAGCCTGGGCCAAGCGCTGCGGAAGAGGAGCGGATGGCCTGAGAGCTCGTGGGTCTGGGCCACGTAGACGCTCTGGATCTCACCCCCGGCGCCTCGACCTTGAGACACATCTCCAGCCTTTCACGCCTCGGTGCTCTGGACATAGCTCCTCAGATGGTCAGCATGGACCCCAACGCAACAAGAGAGTGACCCCAGGGAAGCTTCATTCCACCACTTGTGTTGCCTGAAGACGCAGAACTCCACCTTCAGCTTTTCTGAGCCATACTGGAACCTTCTTCAGGGAGGGAGTGGTTGGCAGTAGGACTCTTGAGCCTTGCTCAGGACCCCCAAGGGTTAAAGGCATCCAGTATTCATGAGGGGAGCACCCACCCCTCCAGTGTGTAACCGGAGGAGAGCTCCTGGAATCACCTCCACTATTGGCGGCTGAGGGCAAGGGGTGAGAAACAGACTGCTTGAAGGCAAGGGAGTCTGAGTTGGGGAGGGGGGTGTTCTATTCTGCCCCTCACCCCGGGAGACCACTTCCTTTCTAGTTTTCCTTATCATGCTGTTGAGCATCCTGAGATCGTGGTGCAGGGACAGTCCCTTCCGCACTGGCCCAGAAGGAGAGACCCAGAACGCTCTTTGCCTTCTCCCGAGTCTCAGAGCTGGAGTCCTGCTTCCAGTAAAACACACAAAAATGGCTCTGGCCCCAGGTTTCTTCCTTAGCACTTAACCTATGTGGAAACTGCTTTGGCCTGCCCCCTTGTGTCTCAGTCCCCTCCAGCCTGGAGTCCTTGGCCTTTGGAATCTTCAGGGTCAGGCACAGAGACCGGACAGCTTCCAACTGGAACCAGAGGCACATTGCGCAGTCCCTGGCTTCTCCCTCTCCCAGCCTTCCCTGTCTGGCTCTGGCCTCAGGGGCTTGTGGCCAGAGGGGGCCTTTGTCCCCTGGTGCATTACCACTGAGGGAAAGGGAGGAGCACATTGCTTTTCTGGGAGGGAAGGAAGGCATGCACCAATGAACTCTCCTGGGGGTCACTGCCAAGGGAGGCACACCCCACTGGGCTCCCTAAACCTGCAGCCTCCTGCCAATTGACAGCCGTATCCAGAAAGCTGGCACAAAACCCCTCATCATCCATAGGATCTCCCCTTCACTGCTCTCTCTCTCTCAGAAAGGACAGCACACCCTTGGGAGAGGGGGAGGAGAGAGATTGAGCACAAATCCACTGCTGGAAATTACTATTCAGCAGAGAAGCTGGAACTTGGGCTGTGAATCACTGCAGGCTCTCTGATAAGCTGCAGCCTCCGGCCCTGCACAGCTGTCTGTTGAGAGATAACAGCCTCATAAGCCTCTTTGTCCAAGTCAGCTGGGGCTGGGGGTGGGGGAGGAGTGCTGTGTGCTAGAAGGACTCTAGCGGGTAAGGGTGGGGGGGAGCCAGGGGGGCACCTAGCCCCAGGATCTCACCCTACCACGTGCAACTCAACAGCACCTCTGAAAGGAGATGGGAAAGAATGTAAGTCACTTTGCTAGCTGAACCCTGAAATAAATCCTTCCAGCGACAAGAGGTGAGTTTCGGCAGCTGACAGGAGGGGCTATTTAGGGAGTTCTCCCCTACCCATATCCCCTTGAGCTTTGGATCAGCGAGCCCTGTCATCCAGACTCTGGCACTGTTTGCCCTCCCCAATTTCTTGTTCTTGATGAGTCCCTGCGAAGGGCCAAGGGGTTTATGTGTGCTTGTCCGACTCTCACAGGTGGTCCAAGAAGGTTGGAAAAAATGCACTATCCTTTTTAAAAAAAAAAAAAAATTTATTTATTTATTTGACAGAGAGAGACCGTGAGAGAGGAAACACGAGCAGGGGGAGTGGGAGAGGGAGAAGCAGGCTTCCCGCGGAGCAGGGAGCCTGATGCGGGGCTGAGCCGACGCTTAACGACTGAGCCACCCAGGCACCCCTGCACTATCCTTTTCTTAAAGATTTTCTTTATTTGACAGAGACACAGCGAGAGAGGGAACACAAGCAGGGGGAGTGGGAGAGGGAGAAGCAGGGGGAGTGGGAGAGGGAGAAGCAGGCTTCCCGCTGAGCAGGGAGCCTGATGCGGGTCTCGATCCCAGAACCCCGGGATCATGACCTGAGCCGAAGGCAGACGCTTAATGACTGTGCCACCCAGGCGCCAGAAAAACGCACTATCCTGACAGCTAAGGTGCCCTGGACTGGTCCTGGGCTTGTGCATCTGAAGCAAATGATAAAACTCGGAAGAGGTCCTGCATGGTAGATGCTTACAGAAGACTGATCTTGGTTCTGGAAAAGGGCCAACTTTCCAGAACCAGGATCTGAAGTCCTGATTGTCCTGTCAGCAGGACCATGCAAGCAGCAGCTTGTCAGGGGAGGCTGCAGAGACTTTCTTTTCTTGATGGTAGGGAACAGATTAAGTCCCTTTCCTGCCTAGAAATTGATCCTGCAGTATGGGGAGAAGAAGGGCTTGTTTCCCCACCTTCAGAGCATTAACCTGCCCTGATGGGCTGAGCTTCCACCTCCCATGCCAGAAGGCAGGGTTATGAAACACTTTCCTTTCTGCACCCCCACTTCACCCCAACAGGTTGAGTGCCCAGGTTTTTGATAGGTGCTCATGGTGCCAGTGGAATCCAGCACCCATGAGCACCCTACCCCTGCCTTACTGATCCTCTGGCCCTACTGACCCAGGAGCAGGCTCCAGAGGAAGGTGACTGATATCCCTATCCACCCCCACCCCCAAGACTGAGGTGGGAACCTGAGATGTGTTGGAATAAGTGAGGTGGGGGGGTGGCTACAGGAGCACCTCAGAGATGGCTCACTGACTACGGGCAGAATGGGAGGGAGCAGAAGCTGCTCTGTGAGACCCCATCATTCCAATAGTGACCTCTATCCAAGAGCTTTCTGGGCCCTGTCTTGGCACTTGCAGGCTAGGGGTGGCAGTGAAGGCTCACACTCACAAAATTGTCAGGTCACACGATCAAAATCCATTTGGGAATATAAATGTATATATAATCCAAGGCCGGAGCTCGTGGTCAGATGGGCAGTGGATCTTTAGCGGGGCCGTTGTTGTTGTGCCAGATCCTAGTCTAGGCACACGGTGGGGCGGGGTGGTGGGGGGTGGGAGATCACAGTAGAATCGGACATTGTTCCTGCTCAAGGATGTCCCAGTTAGTGGCAAGAAAGAAAAGAAAGTTACAACACAATGCAATGATAGTGGGAGAAGGTGAGAACTCTGAGAAGGGGCACTTAATGCACCCAGAGGTGCTGATGGAGGTGGTTCCCCGAGTATCAGAAGCCAGCAGAACAGGACTGGACAGGCAGTTCCCGGCAGAGCGCAGAGGTGATGCTGTGCCTGGTGTTGGCAGCAGCCATAAGCATCTGAAGGATACCTGGCGAGAGGCAGGTGGGGCTGGAGTACCCTGTTGGAGCCAGGTCCTGGGAGCCTCCCTGAAGTAAGTGGGAGGCCGGTGGGAGCCAGGGAGTGCCCCAGTCTGATTGGCATCTGTAAGTGTGTAAGTGGGCGGTGGATTGGAAGGGGCCTGACTGGATCCCCGAGGATACAAGGAGGTAAGAGATGGTGTTACAGGATTTCTTTTTCTTCAGTGCGGTGGTTCTTGGTCACGCCACTTCGAAGAATGAAGAGGTAGATCAGGCAGAGTGGTGGGCAGCAAAGTAGCTTTATTGAGAGACGGTACAAAGCTCCCAAAGAGGGACAGGACCCAAGAGAGTTGCCACTGGAATTTCTAAGTCTAGGGGGTTTTATGGGCCTGTTAGCGGGGGCTGTTTTCATCTGATGAACCTTCCCTGCGCCTGTCATCCAATCAGGTTTTTGTCATCTACCTATCACATGGGAAAGGGTGGAGGGCTCCTTCCAGGGTGGTGTAAGATCCTTTCAAGGATGGTTTCCTCTTGGGGGGCGGGGGGCTTGTCCCTGCCTACCTGCCTTCCAACTATCCTTCATCAATGGGACCATGGGACTGTGGTAGTAGGGAGGGAGATGGAGACAGATTTGAGAGCTACCCAGGCTAGGTAGGATTTCACTGCCATTACAGCCAGATCAGAGTGGGGCTTCTCCTTGGGGCATTAACCCTACCTGGCCAGGACTTGGCCTGCTTTCTTGGCATCCCAGGGGACATGCTATGTAAGGGCCAAACAATAAAGCCTTGGGAGGGGAGGAGGTCCACAGTTTCACATTGGTAAAAGCTTTAGAAGCTGTTGTCCATTGGCTATGAATCTGCCAGGCATGTTCACTGCACAGTAGGGAAAAAACCTGAGTAAGACACTCTCCCACCCTTATCCCTTAACAGGAACCTCCTCACCCCGCCATCTCCCAGCCTCTACCCCATTAATCCTGCACTTTGGGCTGTTGCTATGCCCACACTGCTAGGGATGCTCTAGTCCCCTCTATTTCACTGAGATGTTGCAACACCTCCAGGTCTCCCAAGAGAAGGATAATTGATAAAAGCAAGGGAGGGAGGGAAAGGGAAAGGAGGAAGGGAGGAAAGGAGAAAATATAGCCACGGGAGGGTCTCCTTGGTGACACCAGGTTTCTTCCTGGAGCACAGATCTTAGTTTGTAATTGTGCCCTCATTAGTGTGGTCGTCTGGTTGTCAGTCACCCCAATAACCAGAAGCTGTGATTGAATGGATCCTGCCTGCCTTGCTCCCCACCCAGCTCTTGGCACATAGGAAGCCCACAGAACTGTTGACTGAATGAATAAAGTCTGGTTGAGCCAGATTTATGAACTATTCTGATGCCACATCAAAGTCCTTAACTGTGAAGGATGGTGGCCAAATCTTCCCCTGTGTCCACCAAGCTTCTCTTCCCATCTAGGCCTTAGGTTCTACCTGCTTTTAGAAAGGAAGCACCACCATAGTGATTGGATTTGTATGTCCAGCATGAGGATTCGGGTTTTGTGTCACACCTGCTGATTATCATAGATATTGTGGGTTGAAGTGTGTCCCCCCAAAAGGTATGTTGAAGCCCTAACTCTGGTACCTGTGAATGTGACCTTATTTTGAAACAGGGTCTTTGCAGATGTAATTAAATATGTAAGAAGAGGTCATACTGAAGTAGGGTAGGTCCTTAACCTAGTATGACTGGTGTCCTTAAAAAAGAGAAGACAAGACACACAGAAGAACAACACAGGAGGATGGAGACAGAGATTGGAGTTACGGGCTGCGAACCAAGGAATGCCAAGGATTGCCAGCAAACAATAGAAGCTAAGAAAAATGCATGGAACAGATTCTTCCCTAGATCCTTCAGAGAGAACATGGTCCTGCCGGTATCTTGATTTTCGATTTCAAACTTCCAGACCTGTGAGAAAATAAATTTCTGTTGTTTTAAGTCACCCAGCCTGTGGTATTTTGTTACAACACCTGAATCAAATACAATATGTATTCTCACCGTGTTCAGTGGAAATAAGGAAGAGGAATGTAGGGTGTTTGCCGAGGTCCTTGTTACCAGAATTTCCAGTCCTACATTGTGAGAGGCTCCCTACTCTGCAGGTCTGTGCTACCAAATACAATGCCTGGCGTCATATTGAACATATAGACTTTGGAGAAAGTCAAGCTGTGATTTGGGACAAGTTAATTCTTTGAGCCTCAGCTTTTTCATCCCCAAAATGGGCCAGATTACTGTGGGATAAAGGATATAATATCTTGCTTCCCAACCGTGGTTCATCAGCAGAATCAACCTAGGACACTTGTTAAAAATACAGATTGCCTGGGCTGAACTCCAAACCAACAGGATCAGAATCTCCTAAGAAGGACCTGGAAATAGGTATTTTAATAAGATCCTCATATGGGGGCACCTGGGTGGCTCAGTCTGTTAAGTGTCTGCCTTTGACTCAGGTCATGATCCTAGGGTGCTGGGATTGAGCCCCACATCAAGGAGCCTGCTTCTGTTCTCTGTCAAATAAATAAAATCTTTTTAAAATAAAAAAAAAAGATCCTCATGATTTTTTTTGTTTAAAGATTTTATTTTAAGAATATTAAATATTAAGATTAAGGGGGGGTGAGCTGGGGGAGGGGCAGAGGGAGAAGAAGGCTCCCCACTGATCAGGGAGCCCAACACTGGTCTGGATTCCAGTACCCCAGGATCATGACCTGAGCCAAAGGCTGATGCTTTAACTGACTGAGCCACCCAGGCGGCCCTAGATCTTCATTTGATTTTTGATAGTTAATCAGGGTTGACTATTCCCTGAGCTAAAATATAGAGAACAGCACTCAGACTGGTAGAAGAGACATAAAATTAAATCCCCTTCTCTTTCCCTTCAGCCAACTTGAACCCTTTTCTGGAGAGAAAGCTTAACTGTTAAAGAACTGTCGTGAGCTGCCCCTTAGAGGTGGTTCTGGGAGAGAGAGACTGGGCTCCAGGAGCTGGGAGGCGGAGGGGAATAGGCAGCTAATAGACAAAGAGCACAGAGTTTCCCTGCCCTGGGCCTGTTTCCAGAAAGGAAACTGAGGGTGTGGGTTCCAGCTCAATCAGCTACAAAGACTTCGCTTTCTTTCTTAAAAAAAAAAAAAAAAAAAAAAAGGTATAACGATGTG